CTCTGAGCAGCAGCAGCAGCAGGGAAATGAAGAGAGTTCTGCTGTATAAGAAAACTCCTGAGTGAATCAGACCAATCTACTATGGATCTACTATGCAAAACCTACAAGCAGGGCCTGAGTGCAACAGTGCTCTCCCGATTTGTGGTCCCCAGCAACTGCCATTCAGAGGCCTACTGCCTCCATCCTACTTGCTGTTTTCCTACGGGGGGGGGGGAACTTTGGTAATATGTTGCCCTGAGCGAGGAGAAAATTAGGTTGCCCCCCCAAAAAAATATTTCTTATTTTTATTCCTTTCTCCCCTTCACTTTCTGTCCTGCACACTCTTGGCTCAGCTCCCAGTGCAAGGAAACTGCATGCACTGCCCTAGAACTGTCATTGTCTACAGATACCTGGTTGGCCTCTGCAAGACCAAGATGTTGGACTAAATGGAATCTATAGTCTACTTCAGCATGTCTCTTATTGTGTCCATATGAGTTGGGGTGGGATTTCATTGTTCTCCGTGGCTCGTTTTCCTGTCCTCATGCAGAATGACACTGTGATGCCCTGGGAATCGGATTCGGATGCTGAACCTGAGGAATCCCAGCCTGCACAGGATTCCCCGCCTCCAGAACCAGCTGAGCCGGGGCTGGGGCATGAGCCTGAAGGGTCCTCACCTGTGCTGGATCCTCAGGTGCAGGCACCAGCTGAGTCTGCTCTGGCTCCTGAGGGGATTGAGGACCCATTGCCTGCAGGTGCTCCACCCTCAGCCCCGTCAGAGGAAGCTGAGGTTTCCTCTGGGTCCAGTAACCCTCCAGCCTCTCCTGAGCTGCAACGGCTCAGGGCAGAGAGGCAGAGGGAACTAAGTTCCCGCAAGAGGAGTGCTCGCCTCCAGGCCAGGAGAGGCGAGTCAACTGAGGATCGGGGCTGCCCTATGCCTCGGGGGAGATAAAAGCCAGCCAGCCCCAGTCCCAAGTTGCAGGAGCAACATCGTTGGTTGTCAGTTCCAGCCTGATCCCTGACCTGCTTCCCTGCTGGAGCTCCTGACCTCACCCAACGCCCTGCCCTGCACTCAGCTTCGACTTCTACGGACTGCCTTCATTTTGCACTATCGACCTCGGACTGGACTCGGACCTCGCCTCTCGGTTAGCCCCTGGACCAGCACAGACATGCTATAAACAGGAGGTGCTCAGCATATTCTTTCAGTGTGGTGCTACTGCCAGCCACGTTGACAAGTGAGCCGTCAGATGAGCAAACTGCATTGGTTCTTCAGAGCTCCACTCTTGATCCCTTTGTTTCTTGTTTCCTATGCCTCTGGCTGGGGGAAGTTGACATGCTGCCCTGAAGCTAGGTGCTTAAGATGAAAGCTGCCTGCTCCCACCTGAAGCACCTGGCTAAAAGTGCTTTTTGAAACTTTCCACAGCCAGAGGTAGAGGCAGGAGTGAGGAAATGAGTGAACAAGCAGGCAAAGAGAGATTAGAACTAGGGTTGGGTTGAACTGCCCCTCCCACTTGAAGAGGCATCTTGGCAATTTGTTGGGAGTAGGAGCCAAATTCAGACCTTGAGCAAATAAAACTCTTGGCTTCCATTAGGAAAGGTGCTCTGGGAGCATCCTGGTTGATACCATTTTACCCTGAACAACTTTCTCCCAAAGGTTATCTGATAGAAAGCTGCCTTTGAGAAAGTCAGACCACTGGTCCATCTGGTTCAGCATCATCTTCACTGATTGGCAGTGGCTCTTCCAAGATTTCTGGCATCGATATCTCCTAGCCTTACAAGGATTAAATCTAAGACATTCTGCATACAAAGCAGATACTCTACAACTGAGCCACGGTCCATTCCGTACTGTCTTTCTGGAGACTTGAGGAAGGGAAAATGGTGGCCACCAAGCAGCAGGCAACTGCAACACTTTTCTGCCCTGTCCATTTCACCCTCTGCCCCCGAAATCTCCCTTCACATGTGCCCCAAAAAGTGAGTGAAAAGTTGATCTCAACACTAGACAAGACTTAAGGTCAGCCGTGATATGTTAGTGTCCAGTAGCTTGGAGGAGTCAGAGACCAGAGTGTCAGAAAAGCAACTGAATGACGATGAAAGCTAACAAAGTATTTGGACACACAAATGTTTATATATACGCATTATGAACAACCATTTTTGCTTTCGTATACATGCATATATTATGTCCTATTATTATTATTATTTATTATTATTATTATTATTATTATTATTATTATATAAATCACATTCAATTTAGATGTTTCAGCATTTCCCAAGACACAACATTAGCTCAATAGCTAAGAATAAAAGGCCTTGGATAGAACAGACCCCAAAATCTGGATGCCTTGTAAACAGATATTTTGGAAAGGCGATTTTTCAATGCCTCACATTCATTCATTCTCAGAATATTTCTGAAGAGACAAAAGGAATGAGAAATGAGAGCTGAAGATTCATTAATCAAGATTTCCTTATCATCAAATAAAATCCAATAGTGAAAAGTTTAGCTGTGTCCTTGGGTCTTTTTGTCTTATTGAACAGTTGTTGTTTTTTTACTCCAAGAAGGACATTTTTTCATTCTTATTTACCACAGTTTTATTAGATTATTATTACTGTACAGATAAATAAATTCTCATGGATTTGAATTCCATAATCAGAAGTAAATAATCTGAGCAATGTAAAAGATTATTATTAGTAATAATAATATATAGGGCTTGCATTCAAAATGAGAAAGGAGAACAGTACCTTTCTGACCTATACAGTGAAGACATGGTTGATTATAATTTCTTAGTAGGCACAATTTATCATTTTCAGAATTTACTGTGGCCTACATCCCATAACAGGAAAGAGTACTTTGACAAGGTGCTGTGAGGAGGAGGAAGATGGGGGCGACATCATTCCTGCTTGTAGGGAATTGGACTTCATGAGCCTCAGGGCCCTTTCCAACTCTACAATTCTATGATTCTATGACCATTCCCCAATGCCTCCCATAAGAACATAAGAGCCTGCTGGATCAGGTCAATGGCCTATCTCATGCAACATCCCATTCTCACAGTGGCAAACCAGATGCCCATGGGAAACCCCCAGGTGGGACCTGAGCACAAGTGTGCTCTCCTCTCCTACAGCTTTCAACAACTGGTATTCAGAAGCATTACTGCCTTCCATCACAAGGAGAAGGGGATGACAGAGGATGAGATGGTTGGACAGTGTTCTTGAAGCTACCAGCATGAGTTTGACCAAACTGCAGGAGGCAGTGGAAAACAGGAGTGCCTGACGTGCTCTGCTCCATGGGGTCACGAAGAGTCGGACACGACTAAACGACTAAACAACAACAACAACTGCCTTCCATTGTTCAGGTGTAGCCAGTCATACTGTTGTTGTTTTTCTGTGGAAGGGGAAATGAAGCCCTTGGCAAATGCTTAGCAATGACTGTGCATCATGCTCCATTCTCTAACCAGTGACAAAAGGAGGGCAGCACCTTAACAGCAGCTACATAAGATGTTAGTTATACATGGGGGAAATGAAGAAATAAAGGCTACTCCTATTTTCACAAAACAAATACAGAGTTAAAGAGAAAGCTTAAGCATATCACTTTAGGTCAGACTCTAAAACAAAGGGTAACATCCTTGTCTGATGAGAGGAAAAACTCCTATGCATGTGAATTCTACCTCCAGCTAAGAATACCTTCCTTGTGCATATTTCCCATAACTGCAATTGGATAACAGTGTTTGACACAGAAAAGCACGTGATTGAAGAGGAATGCATTGCATCGAGGGTGAGGGACCTTTTCTAATCTGAGGGTAGAAACGCAACCTTCCAGGGGCCAGAAGCAAAAGTGGGTGGAGCAAAAATGTTAATTTACTCTCACACCCCTCTCCATCCTCCATCCAGGTGAGCAAGAAGCATTTTCAGAGTTCAAGGACATAGTCTAGTCAGGTGTAGACACTCAAGAATGGTGTGAAAGAAGGCCAGTGAATGTGATATATGGGAAGAAGGATAGTGTCTGAAATGGGTGTGTGGCTTGGGAAGTATCCTGAGAGCCATATAGAGTGGTCCAGAGGGGCATATTTGGCTCCCATGCTCAAGGCTCGCCATTCTTGCTTCACATCATTGTCCGAATGTCACTAGAATTTAGGTTTCTTTGAAAACTGGGTCTAGGTCTAGATTCCCTTCAAATGACAATGCTTTCCTCCCCAGACTTTGGCACTTTATCCTGCATTTCTGTGATCTGTTGCATGTAAGGATGACAGAATCTCCTTCCGCATGTCTCGGTGAACAGTTGACAGTCTGTGAACAATGTAATTCAATTCTCATATTTGTCAGTCAGCACCAGAAGAGAACGGCATCTATATGCCTGGCACCAACAGAACTGTCAGAAATACCCAAAGCCTCACCTTTCAGAATGAAAACACTCAAGAGTCATGGCTGAGAAAAGCCTGGGATGAAATATTTACACCCCAGTGAGGAACCAAAAGGGAAAAAGGTTTTATGAGTTATTGTCAGACTCAATGGGTGAAGATGCCCTCTGCAACGACAAGTTGCATCAATAAGATGACAGGCTCTTTGCTAGATTCAAGCATGTCAGCACCGGTATATTAGGGACTTCTGTGAAAAGTGTATTTGCGTCTGTGCAGGACAGAGATTTCTTCCCCCTGCAGTGCTCTCAAAGAGCAATCTCATCCTGCCACTGCTGTAACTTAGCAGAGCAGTGGAACAATTGCTGCATCCAGTTCAGACACTGAAGGCAGCAGTAGGTGGGGCAAAAAGATTGGGTCCTATGGCAGCCAACTCCAACTGTGGGAACAACTTGGAATCCTGTGCTGGCTTGGCTCCACCCCACTCCCAGATTGGTCTCCAATGGTGGGAGTACCACTGGCAGGTTTTCTGTCAGCACTCCCATTTGGCTGGTAAAGTGGGGTCTACATCAGTGGAGTGACACAGGCATCATTCAGTTAGTAGAATCATAGAACTGTTGAGTTGGAAGGGACCATAAGGATCATCGAGTCCAACCCCCTGCATTGCAGGAATCTTTTTGCCCAACATAGGTCTCAAACCCACGACCCTGAGATTAAGAGTCTCCTGCTTTACCAACTGAGCTATCCAACCAGCTAGTGGTGGCTGGTGGGAATCTGGCTGCGGCAGCAGAAATAGGCAGAGGGGTGCCTCTCCTGAATTCACACAGCACCCCGCAGACAGGTGTACAGGTGAATTTAGATTGCAGCCTTAGCCACTATCACCCTGTATTGGCATTTGCAGAATAACAGCAGAAAACAATTCTACTGTGATAAGTAAAAACTTCAAGAAGCAAAATTAAAAATCCCTAGTAGCCCCAACCAGCTTTTCCATCTTATTGCTTAGGCAATAGTCAGGGGTGATGGGATTTGTTGTCCAACAACTTCTTGGAGTCCAAGATTGAAGCACACGTTGTAATGACTGAAAGGGTCTTTCTCAGGCCTACCTAAAGAAGCCAGGGGTTGGGCCTGAAATGTTCTGCATGCCAAGCAGATGATCTACTACTCAGCTATGACTCTAAATCATGTAAATGGAATCTGCACATCACATGATATCCTGTCATGAGTTAGAAACGATGCATTCCAGGGAGACAGTGGAGAACATGAAAAGGAGATGCTGTTTTCACTGCTGCGTCTGCAAAAAATAATGGGTCGTCTGGAGTTATGAAAATATATTGCAGAACTCTCCCCGTGTGAAATGATAATACATGTAAAGTGAATTTAGCAGGTGGGAGAAAACCCCAGCCAATGCCTGTGTATTCCATCAGAAATGCAACATGTTATGCCAATCCCACGGATATATAAAATATCAGAGTTTGGACTAATAATTGTCTGAACCCTGCCAAAACAGCTAGGAAGTGTGAAATTCCCATTCTGGATCCATCTTGCAAATATATGAGTCTTTTACTGCTTTTTTTAATTCTTTTTTTCAGGAAGCCTAATCTCTGAGGAGACAGGAGTTTTGAAAGTACAGCAAATGTTTACTTGTGTCTAACAAGATAGACAGAAAAGGCCAATTACGAAGGAATGTAACACAGTGTACACTTGAGAAATTCTCCCCAAAAAGAATAACCAGCTCTTCTTTATTGTTTCCATAAAGATGGTGTGAGAGTCTACACAACATGTAAAACATGAAAAGCAGAACATTTTCATGTTCACTCTCAACACATTGTCTTCAGTCTTGTTGTACAGTAATGTTTTGTTCAGTGCTGTGTTGACAAATTTCTCCTGCATTTTGTAGAATGTTCCTCACTGGTTTGTGAGAAAATAAATTGCATTTGGAAATGTTCGGGTAAAATGTCCATGGGTGGGGTGCAGGGTTTTTGTTATGTCTGTCTTAATTCTGAGGTGGCTAAGGAGTGTTTGGGAGAATCCATTCTTTCATTCTACAAATCACCTCAGCAGCAGTCTGCGGCCCAGGGGAATATATACCATGAGGTAACTCTCTCAAAGGACTTTTTCAGATTAGGAAGTGTAGGCAGTCATGGAGGACAGAGGTGGATTTAAGGCAGCATGGCCGGCTGGTTCTGCTGCACTGTGTGCTGAGCAGAGGGGGTGCCGCAGGGTGCCACAACTATGACATAGTGAACTGGGCAGAAATGAAAGGTGGGGGGCACCAAATTTTGGCCTCACACATGGCACTGCTGAAATTTCAAAGACCAAAGTCCATCCTGGCGGGGGGGGAGAGGGGAGTGTGGCTGAAGGAAAACACACACATGTCCGTGTAAATCGAACTGTAAAAATGTGTCTGGGTGATTTTTTTATGAGGGGGAAAAAACAAGTTTAACCCCTAACACACAAAACATAATAATACAGTGGTACCTTGGTAGTCAAACGGCTTGGCCCCGAAACAAATCGACTCCCAAACGCTGTATACCCGGAAGTGAGTGTTCCAGGTTGCAAACGTTCTTCGGAAGCCGAATTTCGGACGTGGCTTCCGTGGCTTCCAATTGAGTGCAGGAAGCTCCTGCAGTCAATCAGAAGTTGGCCTTGGTTTTTGAACCATTTTGGGAGTCAAATGGACTCCCGGAACAGATTAAATTTGAGAACCAAGGTACCACTGTAATAATTATTATTTATACCCCAGTCAGCTGGCTGGGTTTTCCATTTTGGAGGGAAAACCTCGGGATGTTAATGTAGGAGGGTGAAGCCACAGCCAGAGTCAGACTAAAGCTGGATTGGTGTGTGGAGGAGGCTCACGTTAATATAAATATTAAAACTACCCTCTGATTGTTAAATAAATGAAGTAACATTATGTTGAAGAAATCTGACATCTGCCTTCACAGGGCATCTGAGAACACATTGCAGTGAGGTAGGCTTAAAACCATACATCCACCAGTATTCTAAAGTGAGAATGAAACAGAAAAGTGGAAGCGTTCTTAGCATGGGAAGAAATCTTCTGAAAAAATGGAAATCAGATTTTGGGCCAGCACTTGCTTTGTGTATATTCATGCATCTTCATAATCTGCCCCAAATTTCATTATGGAAAATCGTTCCCTGCTTACTAGCTGGTGTAACACACATTCATGCATGTAGAATGAACATACTGAACTAAAAATACATGGTCAAATTCCAGGAGATTTCAAATCACACACTACTTTTGATAAGGAAGAGATACCTATGGTTCGCCAAATGTTGCTGGGACTCCAACACCCATCAATCATACCTAGCATAGCTAATGGTAAGGATGATGGGAATTGTAGGCCAATAACTTTTGGAGCACCACAGGTTCCCCAGCTCTGACCTATGGGCTTCCAAAGAATTCTTTCTATAATGGACTAGGGGGATGTTTCTCTCTTGCCCTTCAAAGAAACCGATAATAGGCCAATGAAGATTTTTGCCCCCTTAAAACTCACCCGCCTTTGAAAAAGTACCAAATATGTAACCAAAAGAGAGGCACATTTTTCAGGGGAATAAAATGTTTATGAAAAATGCCCTGGTTTTTGATTACCCTAGAAGGCGCATAAAATTGCTTCATGACAGATAAAAGGATTGCAGAATCAAACAAACCTTCCTAATAATTGGGTTTCTATCCTGAAATATGCTGTTATTGCATGAAGTGGAGTTGTAAATCATTATGGAAATTCTCAACGCCGAATATTTTCAGGCTTTCCTCAAAACAGGATAAAGCTTGTTTTTCCTTTTTAATCTTTTTGTTATTTTGCAGTTTCATGTAGTGCTATCAATACTGTTATAAGTGTAGTAATATAGGGCATGTGTATACACACACACACACACACACACACACACACAATAGTTTAGATGCAGATTCAGCACTGCCTGTCATCATTTTATGCTTCAATACAAAGTTAATAAATTCCTTGTATTATCTGTCCTTGTAGTTCCCTGGTTAATGTAATTTATGGCAGGATCCCATTCATCAAACTTACTACACTGACACCTACTGTTTTTTTATTTGTGCTCTATACACATTTAGATTTACCATTTTGATGGTTTCTAAGATTTTTAACAGCGACACTTTCTTAGACAGAATTACTCTGCTTTCCAGTGCCTTGCATATGTGCCTTACATATGCAAGGCTCACTGTTACTATAAGATTTAAAACTACCACTTCTTTATCTCTTGCAACACAGTTCTTTACATTATTTAACAAATGCACCACTGGGACATGTGCTGAGGAAGGTCTTAACATTGTATTGTTTCATCAACTATTTCCCAATACCCTTTGGCTTTGTTGCCTTTCCAGCACAATTTATAATTTCTCTTTTTCCTGTCAATGCATACCATTTGCAGTGCTATTGTTGTTGTTATTACACTTTAAAAGTTGTTATGTGCTAAAATGATTCCATCTTAAAACTATATATAAATAATGAGCACTTTTGATCACCTCTATGATTCTATGCCCCACATCTTGGTTGCCTGTAAAAGTTTCATAGTTTCCTCAAATCTCTTATCTCAATAGATCCTTTGATCTATTTATCATTCTCTATTTGTTCTCCCCCACCCCAACCCAGGCACTGTTAAATAGCTGTTTTTTTAATAGAATTGTGTAATCATACAATTGCATAGTTGGGAAGTACCCCAAGGGTCATCTAGTCCAATGTCCTTCAATGCAGAAATCTCCACTAAAGCATCCACAACAGATGACCATCCAACCTCTGCTTAAAAACCATCACCTTCTGAGGGATTGCATTCCACAGTTGGGCAGTTTTTACCATCAGAAAATTTCTCCTTATATTTAGTCAAAATCTCTGTTCTTGTAACTTGAAGCTATTGGTTCTGGTCCTACCTTCCAGAACAGGAGGCTTCACATTTATGTAGAAGTTCAAGAGTATGTGTTGCAGATAGAACTGTCTCTCTCCCCCCCCCCCATCCATTAACAGAGGAAATAAAGGTGTTTAGTTTAGTTTCCTAGCCTTATTTACCAATTGAAAGTACTTCTGTTTCATATACAGCAGGAACAGGGAACCTGTGATCCTCCAGAAGTTGTCCAACGTCATATCCAAGCAGCCCCAACCAACATGGCCAATGCTCATGGATTATGGGAGTTGTTCCTAATTCCTGATTTTCAGCACACTTTTATTCACTCTACTTGTGTCAGTTTGAACTAGCTGCTATTCAGCCTCTAGTATTTTTTTCCAGTAATATCCAAATATGGTTTTCTTTATGCACTTTCTCCATCTTCTTTGAGTCTTTTAAATATTCTTATCTTATCTTATTCCACATTCACATAGTTGGGTGTACTAAGCAATCCCCTCATCAAAGCTTTATCTATCTCCCATATTGTTGCCAGATTATTTGGACCATGAAATGTAAACCATTCAGTGCTGCTTTCTTAAAAGGAAAACATTACAAGTTGCTGAGGTTCTTATCCTTTAAATCCAATTACACTGCCCTTGATTACTATATTTTGCACAATACACAATTTCTCACGTCATTTTTATGATGGTGCTCGTGTTCCGCAGTTAGCAGGCAATACAAGGCAAAGCTTACAATTTTCATACCCAGCACCAGTCTAATTCTTAAGATGACCGTCCCTGCCATCAAAGTTCTTGATCTATTTATGAAAAAGTAAAGGTGAAAAAGAATTGAACCAACAGAGTTCCACACAGCCTTAGCTAGCTCTGTTTGAAA